GTGATTGGTCAGTCCATCAGACTTTCCACCAATCACAGAAAGAATTTGTACTTACATACCTGAAATGGGTAAAAGTAGCTGAAGCCAGGCTTTGGTGTTTGGCAGTAAGGACTGGACATTATAGGACTATCACTCAGCTCGCAAAGGTGCTTGGGACTCCCATTTATTTGGAAGTTGAATGACTGACAAGTTGTGTGTGACAGACATTCAGCTAGGCACTCGAAACTATCGCGTACTTGTGTGGTTTTGAGAATGTGTGTGGCTGCCATGCCTTGGAGAAAAGAGAAAAAAATCAAAAAGAAGAGAAGGATAATAGCCGTAATTGAGAAAAAAAAATTGTCGTGGAGCTCGAATACAACTAATGGAAAAAAGGTAGTCAGGTTCCAAAATGTTTCACCGTGAAAGSTACGACCGAAAGGGATTTTGGGAAAGCCAATATTACGAGTATAACAGCTGTCAAATAGTGTTACCGTTCACAAGATTACCTGCACTGAACGAGGAAATGAACTTCTCTACGAGTAATGTTATAATATAACAATTGCCATTTGAATTTTAGATTCGATGAATATCAACTTTTTTCGACCCGATGTATACTAATATCTTATTAACCGAGCGCGAGGGCCGTACGGGAAGTTATGGACCGAGTTTTTTCCACTGACTTATGGCCAGAGTGCGTAGCGCAAGGGCCATAAAAAGTGGGAAAAAAAACGAGGTTCCATAACTTCCCGTACGGCTCGAGCAAGCGAGGTTAATAAGATATTCATTATATAGCATTTTCAGGGAAAAATAGTAAAAATAATATAGAGAATCGGGCATAAAAATACGTTTTTGTTCGTACTTTTCTKGTCATTCAAAATAGAAGGAAAAAAGAAAAGCCTGAGAAACCTTGATGGCAAAATTTGGATTCATTTTTGACTCTTTTTTATACAGTACAACTACAAAAGGAGAGAAAGCAAGCGTTTTAAACATAAAAAACGTTTTTTCTCGTTTCATCTGGTCCGTATGGGAAAGTATGGCCCGCTTTTAAGCTATACTAATAAAAGTATCATATGCATGTCGTCTATATCTTTACATACAGCTCTGCCGAAGCTACTTCCACACTAAATTAGAAAAAAATTATAAAAATTATCTATTAGGAACAATTAAAAATGTACGTCTAAAAGACAAAAAGCAAATAAAAGCGTCCAAAGGCAACTATAAATAAAACGAACATCCCTAAGAAAAGAACAATGATTTTATCAGCTTAAGTTCACACACGATGTTTTTGTGTGAAACTATATGCATTGTAACCAGATTCCAAAATGATCATGAAAATACTGATTCGATTTGTCAAAAAATATTACAGAACAAGATTTATGTATGCTCAGTTGAGTACCCTTTTATAAACAACCGGCGATGACATGGGATTATAATAGGTCTGTTCGTAATACTTTCAGTATAAACCACATCTAACTAATTGGTCTTCGACCAATATTTTGCTTTCTTTTTTGTCTAGTTTTGCTGTCCTCGTAGTTTTTCTAGTTTATTTGTTATTGTCGCTTTAATAATGAAATGGCCGCGATATAAGAGTTCTCTCGACTAATGTCTTTTTTTCCTCTTCTACTTCTTCTCTTTTTTTTTTTCTTTTTTTCCTCTTCTACTTCTTCTCTTTTTTTTCTTTTTTTTTTTGCTTTTGTTTTTTTTTTTGAAAAATTATGGAAGAGTAATAATTAAGCAAAAACACAGCCACAGTTCGTCTTTTCCTTCTTCTGTCAAAAATGTTTTGATTTCTGTGGCAAATATCCAGCGTTGCCTATTAGCCATTTCTTTTCTACATAGTGCTGGACCTATATACTAACTACTCGATATTAATTGGACGGATTCGGTGTGTTTCCTGTTATATATATGAAACGTAATGCTCTTTGAATTCATCGGCATAATATCACGATGAATATGGTACCTGTTTGACTTGTATATATGCTTGATATACCTGTAACGTACTTGAAAAGCACTCAAAAATAGAACACTGAAACAGTCAAATAAACGAAAATAACAACAGCTACGGCTTTCGTTCTTTAAACGTTTAACAATAACGATTAAATTGAACGAACGCAAATCTCTCATAACAGGGCTAAATATGAAAATGAAGGACACGATTTTTGTAAAACTGAAATGTACTATATTTCTTTGTGTCCAGTTTCTATTTTCACCGCTTGGACGAAGGAACATTTTTTTGCGCTCGATGAAGATCAAATGGTTTATACTCATGAGTATCAGTACAGAAATACAGAAATGGTATCTTAAACAGTATATGTGACAAAATGGCCCCAGGCGGCATATTCTGGATATTTTGCAAGACTTATCTGAGGACAATCGAGAACGTCGGTAACTTAAAACCTTTCGTTTTCAAAGGTTCTCTTTGATACTAGCATTATTTATTTATAATACTTATCAGACTTATTGACATTCAAATTTCTAATTTATCAGTACAGCTCATAATGTAGAGATTCATTAGGAGAAATCATGGTGACATGAAAATATAAAGATTATTCTTATCATAAAAATGTATGATTTAAAAAGCCAAAAAAGTACGAAAAAGCGGATATCTATAATTTTATTCTATAACTTTATTCGAATAGGTAATTTAAAGATTCAGCTTCACAAAATGGTGATATTAAACTATTTTTTTTTACATTAATCTGACAAACTTTAATTGTAAATATAAGCCGATATAAAACTGTGATTGTCCTGGCCTGAAACCTTGGCTTGCTCCGGCCAGATGATAGTTTATATCCCTAAAGATGATTCCCTGTCTGGGTATATATTAGACTGTTTTCAGTGCTCTCTATTCGCCGAACTTCTATCAAATCAGGAGTACTTATAATTTTTAATCTAATTTAGGAATCATTTTAGCGTCTATTTTTGTTGATTTCTCAATCTAACAACCGCATTATTCGGTCCGAGTAGCATTYACACCTAATCTTTAATTACATTTGGAATAAAAAAAGACARAACTATAGCCTTAACATCGTATGGTTTCGACTTCACCTTTCCCATACTTAAACACTGAAAAAAATCGCGCGCTTTAAAGGTTGTAATTTCATTGATGTAAATATGATGTAAGTGTCCAAAATTCTGTAAATCTAATGGAAATCATTACATCAAATTTACAAAAGTTTGGACACTTACATTATATTAATAACCTTTAAAGCGCGCGATTTYTTCCAGTGAAAGAAAGATTAATTTCAAACAAATTTAAGAAGAGAATTGAAGCTGAGGAGTTTTATAGGTTTTGTCCCTTCAAATCAATACATAAAAAGAATCTGATCGAACTTTATACACAATTAAAAGTCACAAGGTTTGAACCATCCAGGAAACTTACCTTCAACTCGCACGAACGTTCCTTCTTTAAACCTTTCCCCTCGATGTGGATTCGCCATTTCTTGACCTTTACAACTAAACACGCCGCACAGAAGAAGCAATGTAGCACAAAGTATTGATTCCATGTTCCAACTTTTCCGTTCCAACTTTTTCACATGGCAGCTGAAAACTTAATGATTATCAAACCCCTAAACCTGGACGCAGAGAATCGCAAATACACACTTATTAACGATCCACGAGAGAAACAAATTTTCACTGCCGTGATGCAAATACACGGTGTATTTGGCGGTGTTTTAATTGAATGGTTAAATGTTCAGGACGGGATCTGGAAAAAACACGACGAGAAATCCATGGTAATGAATGCAAGCCATCGAAACAACCAATGAAATTCAACACTGATTTGATTATGAATATCACAAGCTTAAAAGTGTTAATATTCTATATTAAATTGACCAAATAAAAACAAAGGGCAAACCTTGTAAATTATCAGTTATAAAGTAATCAACTAGACTATTTATAACCTGAATAATTTCTTTCATAGGTTCACACAACTGATTAGATGTCGTGGACCACATAGTTTTTCAGCTGCGGCAAATCAAATAAAACTAGATATATAACAGGTATTTCATTCAATTTATTTACTAGTTTATTTAGAAGCTGTTTTATATACTCCATGGTTTTTGAATAAGTACTGCGCGCGGAATTTCCATGGCTACAAGACGAAGGAAGGTCGTGGTTTTTCGTCAAAACGTCTTCTGTTCTATCAACAAAACTGACKGAAAGGTGTCTTGATTAGCTAACAAAGAAGAGTATTTCATGGTTTCTATGGGAAATAAAAGCGTCATTTACACCGCGATCGAATATCATCCCAGTGGCCCAAGTATGATAGGTTCCGTTAGAAATTTAAACTGATATGACTGACATTYCTCAAAGAATAAAAAAAAATATTAAACGTGAATAACTCAGTGAATCTTTAATAATGATTGTTAATAAATAACTGGGGGTTTGAGGTCTTTGAGCCGTAAAATACAGCTGAGAAAATGCTTAAAAAATATAATACAATCAACAGTGAGAA